GAGAGGAAGGAGGAGGAGAGGAAGGAAGCAGCGCAGCGGAGCTCGGGTTGGCACGGTTGACTACCATACCTTTCACTTGCCGGAGATCCCGTCGCCTCCAAGAGACCCCAAGCCAAATTGGTCAGGGCTAGTGGTGCTTCCACCAGAACCAGTCGAAGAGAAAGATTACCTCAGCCCATCAACCCCAGTACCGCCGCGGATGGCTCCAACACAGGCACTAGACAACACAGCAAAGACAAGCCCAGTGATGGACAGCACACCTCTTCCGGTCATGACGGAAGGCGGGGGAGGCTTGCTGGAGACGCCAGCTCCAAGCAACAAGCGAAGCGGAAACAACAGGAGCGCTACAAGACACGTCTGGACTCCATGATGACGCCCTCGCCGGTTGAGAACAAGAAGCGCGTGCTCCTTGAAATGGGCCCATCGAACGAGGACAGCCGCGAACAGGCTCTGAAGCGAGGGGGGGGGGATGGGCGTGTAGTTGGGCTGTTTGTCTTCCAGCCTGGCCGGTAGCCGTGTGCTCAAACAATATTCCAATGGATAAAAACGAGAGAGCAGCCTGAAAAAGCAGAAGCCAGCGATGCTTGTGTTCAGAAAAGGCGATGCTAAAATCAGCAAGCATCCACCTGGAATTGCTGCCGGCAGGCGAGGTGACGAATTGCTTGTTCAACGTTCAGCTGTCAAAATGACAGCGGCTGCACCAACGCTGACAACAGCGCCTTCGAAAAAGTTGGCAGGCGGCAGGCGCATCCCCAAAAGCAAATGCAAACTTATAGATGCACGCGCGCTATGTTTGGACACACGCTGCTGGCAGGACACACAAGTCGAAGCGGGGACGGAGAACAAGGAGCGTGCGGAATGAGGCAACATGGCTCTCAGTTTGGTTCGGAATGCATGCAAACCGTCCAAGTAAAAACGCCGAATTGCGCCGAATGAGGTGCCTGGTTATATGTCCAAGTAAAAACGCCGAATGAGGCGAATTGCGCCGAATGAGGTGCTTGGTTATTATAGCCAACTGGGACAACTTAGGGGGGAGCCCAAATGAAGGGAGTTTGCAGCCAAATCAGTCGAGCTACGCCGCATGAGACGCTTCGCCGTCTGAGGCGCTGGCGCCAGCGGCGCGACAGTCCTGAGCCAGGCGCGGACATTGGCAGTCATGATGTTGCATCGCCCAGCATGTTTGATGCGCCCGACCAACTCAAGAGCAAATCCTTGCAACACATTTCTCGCCTGACACTGCGGATCCTGGTGCCGCTGCGCAAACAAACTACTGTACAGCAGATTCTGTTGCTTCTGTGACATGACGAGAACCGGCAAGATGGCCCTCATTGAATCCCGCGATGTACCCCTTGGACCAGCCCAAGTTGAAAGATGCGGCCTTGAACCTGCTCGAGACTCTTGCCAGTGCCTCCTCTTCGCCTCCATCGCCTCCGTCGCCGTCTTCTTGTTCTCCTCCACCACCCTCTTCTTCTTCTCCTCTGTCTTCTCCTTGTTCATCATTGTCATGTTCTTCACCTGCCAAATCTCTACCTTGTCCGCCTTCTTGCCCTTCCTCCTCTCCCTCCGCTCTTCGCTCTCCTTGTAGTTCCTCCCAACGCGCTTCTTGTTCTCCGGGCTTGCTTCCTTCATTGTCATTGTCAACCTGCTGGGAGATCTCTCCTCCACTGCGTCCGTCTTCTTTGGGCTCGGTGCCTTCGTTGTCGAACTGCTGGGGAATCTGCGTGGGCGCAGTGTCCTCTTCGCGTCGTTTGCTGAGCTCCACTCCTGGCGCCAATCCTGATCTGCCATTGCGCGGCCTTCGAACTGTCACTCGGGCCGAAACTTGCATATATACGATGAGTGAGCAATCAACCCCGTTTCTTCACACGCAAGCTGGTGCCTTGAGATGCGCGCAAATTGCAAAGAATGAGGCCTGGGCTTTGAATGCCGCAGCATGACAATCAAGCTTGGCTGCGACCTTCCTTGGCTGTCGGGCGTGCGCGATGGCTTCGTTAAGAAAAGATTTGCTGCCGGGGTTCTTGAAAATGGTCTTTCCGAAATGGGCTCCAAAAGATTGGCTCCAAACGGCTCCAAATGGCTCCAACGGATTGGCTCCAGATTTGTTCAATCCGTGTTTGTTTTCCAACAGCGCCATCGGAGTTTGGAAGGACGAGGCTCATTGCTGAAAATTCAACGGGGTTCGGACGGAAACGCCGAACAAGGAAAATTCCGGACTCCAATTGGCAGAAGTGCCTCATTCGGCGCACGTGCCTCATTCGGCAGCAGCGCCGCGCTTTCCCTGTCCTGGTCCAGCCAAGGGCGTGGCTTGCAATGCTGCTGCCATAGTCAACCTCAGGCAAGGCAAGGTGGCGCTGCTGCAACTTGCCGCGTCATGCAGGCGCATCCCACGCAGCAAGGCGCGCAGCAAGTTTTTTTCTGGTTGTCGAACCTCGCGTTTTGCGGGAAGAAATCTGCACCACACGCAGCGCGCTAAAAAGGGTGGCGGGCCTGCCCGATGGCATCTAGTGTTTGTTGTTGTTGTTGTTGTTGTTGTTGTTGTTGTTGTTGTTGTTGTTGTTGTTGTTGTTGTTGTTGTTGTTGTTGTTGTTGTTGTTGTTGTTTTTGTTGTTGTTGTTGTTGTTGTTGTTGTTGTTGTTTTTCTTGTTTGTTGGTTTTGTTGTTGTTGTTGTTGTTGTTGTTGTTGTTGTTGTTGTTGTTGTTGTTGTTGTTGTTGATGTTGTTGTTTTTGTTGTTGTTGTTGTTGTTGTTGTTGTTGTTGTTGTTGTTGTTGTTGTTGTTGTTGTTGTTGTTGTTGTTGTTGTTGTTGTTGTTGTTGTTGTTGTTGTTGTTGTTGTTGTTGTTCTACCTGCTGCTGCGCGCTGAAATGGCCCTTGCGATTGCGGGCCTATTGCCTGCTATCTCGGAGGGCCATCATAAACCCTTCACTGAATCCTCGCCGATAGCCTTCGGCGTACCCTTCCGCCGCTTCTCGGCCGTCTAGGGTGACATACTCGGCAGGCACACCAGTGAGCTGCTTCTCCTCCTGATGATGGCAGCGGCGGGTTGGTGGTTGCTGATGCCGGGCCCCCTGCGCCTTTGTCTGCTTCGCAGCCGGCTGCCCCGTTCCTCCTGCGGCCTGCCCATCTCGCGATGGCTGCCCTGTTCGTCCTCCTCCTCCTCCACTTGCTGGCGCCGGGTTGTACCTCTTATACTCGTCCGGGATGTCCAGTGTCACCCACCCCTTCCTGAACTTGTCCCGGTTCGCCATGTGTTTTTTGGATTTCCGGCGCGAGTCGTTAGCCTACGCGTCGCACAGCCCGCAGTGGGCGGCCAGCTGCTTATCATCTTCCTCCCAAGGCCGCCAGTACTCCCCATCCTCCAGGTGATTCCACTCCGCCATTGGACCCCCACACGAGTTCCTGCTTGAGCCCGGCCAGCTCGGCGTTTAGTAGATCGGTGCTGGAAGCCATGACGCGCACTCTCTCTTTCTCTCTGACACACGTGCGCACAAACACGCAGGCATGTTCGCACGGACCCACTAGGGCTGCGGCTGAATAAATGGCATCGAAACAGAGCTGCTGAATGAAGCAGCAGGCCTTGGGGCAAGTGTGACCAATTTGTCAAGCAAGCCCACAAGAAGCATCCGGGAAAGGGATAGTCATCCTCCAACAAAACAGTTGTCGTTCCTCCCTGAAGATCATGAATATTGGATAATAATTACATCTGAATCGCCGACACGGCACCCAGATCTTTCTGGTCGGGGGCTCAGACTTGCGCAAAAGTTTGGAAATGTGCCGCATGAGGCAAGGCAACCGAAGGAGGCCCCCCCATCAATGTCAACAAAATGGCTGGCAATTCTAGTGTTTTTACCACAGCCTGCCGAATTGGAGGAGGAGGAACAGGGCAGCCTGCCACCCCCGCGCCAGTGCCAAGAGGAGGAGATGGGCAGCCGGCGCCAGCAAGTGGAGGAGGAGGAGGAGGAGCAGGGCAGCCATCACGAGACAGGCCACACCACCAGTAGGAGGAGGAGGAGGAACGGGCCAGCTCGCTGCAAAGCAGCAGCCCAAGACAAAGGCGCAGGGGCGGCATCAGCAACCACCAAACCGCCGCCGCCATCATCAGGAGCAGGACCCAGATCTTTCTGGTCGGGGGCTCAGACTTGCACAAACGATTGGAAATCTGCCGCATGAGGCAGGGCAGCCGAAGGAGGCCCCCCCATCAACCAAAAAAGGATGTGCAATAATGACGCCTGTCATTTTTCATGTTTTTACCACAACCCACAGCATGAGGCAGGGTGTTGAATGCGCACCGCAGACTTCCTGTCAATTGTTTTTTTTCTCAAGCTTGTCGGCTGCGGCAGGTCGATGTCACGAACACTGGCAAGGACGACACGATTTGCAGGGACGCCTGGTTTTGCCCACTTTCATGTCCATGTTTGCTGGAAAGACGCGCATCATCTTGAGCAAGCGCCGTTTAATTTGGCAGTGTTCCCAAAAAAACATGTGCAACAATGGCGTGGAGGCCGCTGAAGGAAGCGGCGGGACAGCGCTGAATGAAGCGCATGTGAGTTATGTTGCTTGATTTGCTTGATTGGAGTGATCTGAGTGAGTTGTATGATTTCAGTGCTCAAAGCTGCCCGGGCCGTCAGTGAAAAGTCACCTCTGCTGGCAATGGACTGGAACTGGTGGGGTGACGGCTGGTGGAACGCGGACTGGCCACAGGGCCCACACGGAGCCGGCGGAGGTGGCAAGGGCGGGGGCGGCCAAGGCGGCGGGGGCGGAGGAGGCGGCGGGAGCGGAAGTGGTGGCGGAGGCGACGGGAGCGGAAGTGGTGGCGGAGGCGGCGGGAGCGGAAGTGGTGGCGGAGGCGGCGGGAGCGGAAGTGGTGTCCCTGGGGGGGGTAACAGACCAACGCCCGCCGCCCCGAAGGTGCATGACTACAGGCCGGCTTCGCAAGCCAGACAAAACAGGTATCTGGTGAGGGCCAACGATCGACTCACGGAACATGTGGAAATGGTCCAGGCCCAGAAGGAACAGCTCAGGCTGGAAATTGTCGACCTCCGGCGACAGTTGACGGATCTTGTGGCGAAGGAGGCGGAGGAGGCTGCAGGTCACGAGCAGGACAAACTGGCAGCCGTGGCAAAACAAAAAGAGGAACTCATGGCCCACATCCACAGTCAGGACGCGAGTTTCAGCAGCCACACTGCCAACATGCAGGCGAAGCACGCCAAGGAGAAGGCCGACATGAAGACGCAGCACGCCAGTGCATTGAACGAGATGAAAGAGCTACATAAATTGGAGCTGGCTCAGGCGGAGAAGAGGTGGAGGGAGTGGGCCACGATACAAAAAACCAGATGGAGGTGGATCTGGAAACAGCCTTGAAAAAGGCGAGGGAGCAACATGAATCGGACCTCCGCTCCCACTTGTCAATGTGGCAACGGTGCACAGACCGCCTGGTGGACAAGGCGGAGGAGGAGGAGGAGAAAAAGAGGGCGGGGATGGAGGAGGAGGAGCCGGCGAAGGAGAAAGGACCGGAGCAGAAGGAGGAGCAGAAGAAGGAGAAGCAAAAGGATCAGAAGAAGGCGCCACAGGAACAGAAGGAGGAGCCGGCGAAGGAGAAAGGACCGGAGCAGAAGAAGAAGGAGCAGAAGAAGGAGAAGCAAAAGGATCAGAAGAAGGCGCCACAGGAACAGAAGGAGGAGGAGCCGGCGAAGGAGAAGGGACCGGAGCAGAAGAAGGAGGAGCAGAAGAAGAAGCAAAAGGATCAGAAGAAGGCGCCACAGGAACAGAAGGGGAAGGAGCCGGCGAAGAAGCAAAAGGATCAGAAGAAGGAGAAGGACATCTCCACAATCCATCAGCTCATCGGGAAGCTCTCCGGCCGGATTGATGGGCTTGAAGCCCAGCTTCGAGGTACTGTGCTGGGCATTGATGAGGTTGAGAAGAAAGCTCATGCCCGTGTTGATGTGGCTGAGGCCAGTGCCAAGAAAGCCTTGCAGGAGAGATCCAACGCAATTGTGAAGGGAACCAAAGCATGCATCGACGCGGTGAGCAAGGAAAGCCGCGACCATGTTGACTCCCGCCTCCTTGACGCTGAGCGTAGGGCCGCGGAGCGTTTTGACGCCGGGAGGAAGGATGCGGCAATGAAGCTGGCTGCCGTGGCGAAGAGCCGGCGAAGGAGAAAGGACCGGATCGCAAGGAGAAGGAGCCGGTGAAGGAGAAGGCTCAGGAGAAGGAAGAGCCGCGGAAACGCCAAGCCGCACCTCCTGCAGCCAAGCCGAAGAAGAAGGCAAGGAGGAGCAGAACGCCTACTTCCCAAGCATGCAACACTGGCTGCAAAACAGACACATTTTCCTCTGTGCTTTGCAAGTTTGCAGGAGTTGCAAAGGCTCCAAAAATTCTCAAGCAAAACAAACCTAAGCTGAGCCGGGCTCTCAGGGGAAAGGCTGCGTTTCCGCAGCCTTTTCTTAACCATGCATTTCCATGATTTCAAATTCACGCACAGTCAACCGCAAGTCGGACAGCAGCTTCTCCAATGCTGATGATTCAGGTCCAATTTGATGTTCCTCTATCAGCACATGCAACGTCCTTTGAACAATCCTCACCATTTCCAGCAGGTCCTGCATCTGTGCGTGGGGAACTGCCATTAAAAAATTGAATCCAATAAGATTCTATGCCATAGTCGTGGGATCCGAGCACATTCCATACCAGTGCCAAAGATTGCCCAAGGAAACGACACAGCTCTTTGTCCAGTGGAAAGCCTGAATTGCTGCGAGAAACGGACGCATGTCCACATATGTACGTCTGTCACCCCTTTCTCAATGACACGCTGCGCCAGGCCACGCGCGAGCTCGTCAGCATCAAGCTTGTAAATGTCCATGGCAGCACGTGCGGCAAATTTGACTCCCAGCTGGGAAGCTGAAAACAAGCAAGGCGAGCGCATCCCACAATTCTTTCCCCCCTCCCTCCCCCCCTCGGTCAAAAAAACGCTTCCGAAATGAGGATGGTTTTGGCAAAGAATTCACACCCGAAAAAACGAGGTTTTTGGTGCAAAAAACGAACCACAAAAGCCTAAAAAGCCTGTACGGTTGCAAGTCCTGAACTTCTCAGGCACAGGATTGCCTTGAATGGTGGGGCCCAGTACCTAGAAAGCTCAGCAAGGTGCTTCGGTGGGCTGATGAACCTTGCACCAGAAACTGGTCCTGGTGCACGGGCCATCTGACCACCAATCAGGGACAAGTACGTAGAAAGTTTGCTGCGTCAGTTTCTCCTTCATTGGCTGCAACATCTCGCGCCCATCAAACATCCACAATGGTGACTTGTGGCGGAAGCTGAGTTCATGCGGTGTAGCAATTGATGATCGAATTGAGACCGCTCCCGACGCTGTCATTGCTTCTGAGGCTTCGCGAAGTTGGTGAATTTTGCAGCCAATCCAATCAGCTGCTTTGATTCCAACAAACACCAACCCACAACGTGTGCTCCGTCCGAACTGCGGGTGCCCGCGCAATGCCATGTGAGTCCTCTTCCAAGTACCTGGACGCCATGGCTTCACCAGCTTTGGTTACAAAGCTGTTAAACTTCGCGAGTTGAGCCGAATGGGCGGGCGAAGGCTCTGTGTGCGGCGCAACACTGCGCGGCATCCACTCAAGCAAGCATGCAACACTGGCTGCAAAACAGACACATTTTCCTCCGCGCTTTGCGAAAAGGAGTTGAAAAGGCTCCAAACTTCTCAAGCGAAGCAAACCTAAGCTGAGCCGGGCTCTCGGGGGAAAGGCTGCGTTTCCGCAGGCTTTTCAAGGGTAAACAAGTTCACGCAAAGTCAAAGCAACATCGTCCAACAGCAACTCCAATGGTGAATGAGGAGGCCCGTCAACGTCAGCCAGTTCGTACAAGAAGTGCAGAACTTGGGTCGCCTCTTCCAGAAAGGCCCGCGCTTCAAAATTGGTTCGTGGAATGTACAATGGTCTTGGAGAGCCTGGAGCCCACAAATCCTGCACGAGAGGCTTCCTACCCAAATTAGAAGGCCCGTCTGATGGCAGAACACGCTCCATACCAGCAACAAGGATTGCGAAAGGAAACGTTGAAGCTCTCCATCCAGCACTTTCCATCATGCACCGCAGGACCTTCCTGCATTTCCTGCATTTCCTGACACCTTCAATGCTGTCGTGCATCTGCTTCTCAATGACGTGCAGCGCCACGCAATGCGCGAGCTCGTCAGCATCAAGCCCGTAAATGTCCATGGCAGCACGTGCGCCAAGTCTCACTACCAGCTGGCAAAAACAACTTTGAGCCATTGGATTGCCCAAACAAGGGCTGCGCAGAAAATTTCTACGCAGCACCGTTTTTACACAGCCCGACATTCATACCGACTAAAAAACACAACGGTATTCTTGTTGCAAAAAACGCACCCCCAAAAAAAGGCCTAAAAAGCCTGTGCTAAGCTGAGCCGGGCTCTCAGGGGAAAGCCTGCGTTTCCGCTGATAATTTTCCTCCGCGCTTTGCAATTTTGCAGGAGTTGCAAAAACCTAAGCTGAGCCGGGCTCTCAGGGGAAAGCCTGCGTTTCCGCTGATAATTTTCCTCCGCGCTTTGCAATTTTGCAGGAGTTGCAAAAAACCTAAGCTGAGCCGGGCTCTCAGGGGAAAGGCTGCGTTTCCGCAGGCTTTTCAAGGGTAAACAAGTTCACGCAAAGTCAAAGCAACATCGTCCAACAGCAACTCCAATGGTGAATGAGGAGGCCCGTCAACGTCAGCCAGTTCGTACAAGAAGTGCAGAACTTGGGTCGCCTCTTCCAGAAAGGCCCGCGCTTCAAAATTGGTTCGTGGAATGTACAATGGTCTTGGAGAGCCTGGAGCCCACAAATCCTGCACAAGAGGCTTCCTGCCCAAATTAGAAGGCCCGTCTGATGGCAGAACACGCTCCACACCAGCAACAAGGATTGCGAAAGGAAACGTTGAAGCTCTCCATCCAGCACTTTCCATCATGCACCGCAGGACCTTCCTGCATTTCCTGCATTTCCTGACACCTTCAACGCTGTCGTGCATCTGCTTCTCAATGACGTGCAGCGCCACGCAATGCGCGAGCTCGTCAGCATCAAGCCCGTAAATGTCCATGGCAGCACGCGCGCCAAGTTTCACTACCAGCTGGCAAAAACAACTCTCTGAGCCACTGGATTGTCCAAACAAGGGCTGCGCAGAAAAATCTACGCAGGACCGTTTTTACACAGCCCGAAATTCATACCCGCTAAAAAAAACACAACGAGGTTTTTGTTGCAAAAAACGCACCCCCAAAAAAAAGCCTAAAAAGCCTGTACTTAATGACCGGCCAGAAGGTCAACCAGCTGCTTCCGGACATTCCAAAGCTCAAGGGCGAGGAAAACGTCCGGTGGCAAGCCTTCGGGCAAGGGCAAGCCTTCACAGGCCAAGTCCCGAGCTGCGAGCGCAACACAGTGCGCGTGCTGCGGTGGATCTGGCCATTGGGCCAGCGCATGCCCTCCACCACAAGCAGCCTCGTTCCGTTCTACGCCCAATCCGAACAAGCGCCCCGCCATCGAGGATGGATCCTCGATGACGGCCAACCTGCTGATCGACCAGTTCGGATCCGAACGGCCAGATGCTGTCATGTTGGATCCTGGAGCATCATCCTTCTTGGCTGGCTACCAGACCTTTCTCGCCTGTGTCTCCTACCTCGAGTTCATCGGCTACCCCATTGACCAGATCCAGTTCAGCCGCTGCGCCAAGGACTTTCGCTTTGGAGGTGACCGTTCAGGTCGAAGCAAATGGGTGATCCGCATCCCCATCTTCCTGAACAACAAGTATGGCGTTGCTGATTGCTTCCTGCTGCCCAGACACACCCCAATGCTTCTTGGAAGACCTGTGATGGAGCTCCTGGGCATCCAGCTGGGCTTTGCCAACAAACAATTTCGGCTTCCTGGTGGTCATTGGCGCCGACTAGAATGTGGTCGACAGGATGAGTACCTTCTATCCCTGACTGACTCTATGAGAGCAGCAAGCACAACCTCAAGCTCGCCTATGAACACGTGCTTGCGGATGAGCCTGGCCTGAATCATGCTCCAGGACTTCAAGCTCACTGAGAACATCGAGGAGGCGGTCGACGTTGCACAGGAGCATGTTACGAATTCGTGTAACGACTACTAAGAAAACATGTTTGAAGGACCTGTCACGGGCAACATCCCGGAGGTCCTGGACAACGGAGATGACGCCCTACGCTCAAGTAACTGACCTGGCGTTGAACACGGCAGCCTCCGGCAACAACGCCGCTGCCATCCAGTCCCTGGACGACCGAGTCACCGCCGAGCTGGCCTCAAAGCTGGACAGCAGCGCGCTGGCGAAGCAGCATCGCCGCGCTGCAGAGCTCGCTGACCACGGGTCTCTCCAACAAGGCAGACCAGTTGGCCTTCGACGTGCTGGAGGGCGTGGTGGCCACTAAGAGCACCCCGGACGGCGTGGACCTGAAGCTGTCCAACTACAGCACCACGGCGGCCATGAACGGCTCCATCGCCTCGGCCAACAACGCCACGCAGGCCACGGTGGCCGCCAACTACGGCCTCAAGACGGTGGTGGACCAGCACTCCCTAGACATAGCGGCGAGGATCACGCCGCTGGAGGTGGACACCAAGGCGGCCAACGCTCTCCTGGGGGCCGTCACCGCCGCGGCGCTGGCCTCCGAGCTTGCGAGCCGAGACGCCTCCATCTCGGGGCTGCAGGCCTCCAAGGCAGACGCCAGCGCCCTGACTGCTTACGCCCTGCAGTCGGCCGTGGACACTTCCTCGGTGGTGGGCTCTAAGATAGCGACAGCCCTCTTGGACGCTGTCACCACGGCAGCCCTGGACGCCGCCCTCCTCGGCAAGGCGGACGCAAGCGCGCTGGCCTCTCTGCTCTCCACGGTGGACGGGTTTTTTTTTTTTTTGGGCACAGCCGCTGGAGGTAGACACCAAGATTTCGAAAAATTGAACAACAAATAAAAATACCCTGCATGGGTTCCCCCCCCCCCCCCCCCCCCCATTCCCGGCCACCGAGGCCTTCGTCGCAGCGCAGC